TGGTCTCAGTGTTGTTTCGGTAGCAATTGTATTAGGCAATAGCACTTTGCCACCCCCTTCTGTTCTGCCTCTAGTCCCTCCCCAACACCACTATCCTATTCACACGTTGGTTAGGTTTAGGTTTTTTTATTATGATCTATATTGAAAGGAAAAGAAGAAGAAGGGTGGTATATGGAATGGAAACACAATTCACTCAACCTGTTACGAAACAATATGGAAAGAAAGCACAGGTGGAGTACAGAGATGCACAGTACAACAGAGACAGAGATATTTTTCACAGGCAGCTTGTCTCCACTTCTGAAAGAAATGGGCACGTTCAGCCTTGAGAAAAGAATGCTAAGGGGAGATACAGTATGATAGTACTTTTCAAATACTTGAAAGGTAGTTGTACAGAGGAGGGGCAGGATCTGTTCTTGATCATTGCAGAATGCGGGATACATAATAATGGTCGCAAGCTACAGGAAGACAATAAAAACTTCTTAATTGTTATAGCAGTATGACAATGGGATAAATTACTTAGAGAGGTGGTGAACACTCCAACACTGGAGTCATTCAAGAGAAAATGGGACAACCAGCTGCCTAATCTTCTTTGATTTGCATTCCTGCATTGAGCAGGGGGTAGGACTAGATGGCTTTATAGATCCCTTCCAAATCAATTATTCTATGATTTATTTTTGTAAATAAGCCAAATATTACTAGAAGGATAACAAATAAAAACACCTTAAGTTTGTAGTGATTTGCTTTCTAGGTGGAAAACAAATCTGGGCCCATCCTTTTTCCACTTGGAGAAATGGAGAGCATAATGTTGTAAACAAAAACTATGTATAGTGAATGAATGAATAAAATATAGAGAGCTTGACTCCAGTGAACTAAATCTGGAAACCTTGTAATATTAATCTTTAGATAAAAGACATGAGGAGGAAGATTTCAAGAGGAAGAGTTCTTCGGAATAAATTATACATCACTTTTAACTCTTTCTTTCCTCAAAAATAAGCATGGGGTCATGATCCAGACCAGACCATGCCATGGGGGGCGGGGTAGGAAGGCTTTAGCCTCTCCTCCTTATAAGCTCAATTCAGATAAGGGTCCTATGCAAATTGCAATTGTGTCTCCCCATCTGGACTGGAATCACACAGAAGGAAGTTTTAAAAACTTATGTTCCAAATTCTATGTATCAGGTATTCCATGTTTATTTCTGAACAGGGGAAAAAAAAAACAAATGGTGCAGCTGTATGCCATGGATTAAAGTTTGGCTCAGAAATTAGGGGCCTGGCTTTCATCTGCAAAGGTCCAGGAGACTTTTGAATAGATACATGGTTTCTTTCCTTTTCTCTTCAGTTTATTTAATTTCTGTTCTGTTCCTTTCTGCCTGTGCATGTCTTGCTGGAAGGTAAAGGACTAGGTTAAACCATCGCTGACTTCCTACAGCTCATATAGTATATCATCTTCTAATTCTGCTGTCATTCAAAGTACAAGCCTTTAGCCTTTGTGACTGTAGAGAAAACTCTGAAAATATATGGGTCATCCTTGCTGAAGTTTCAAAAGTTCTGAATCCCCTTTATTGCTTTGCAAAATTCCCTGGCTTTCTCCTCAGGATACTATCTCTTTCGCCCTACTGCCTCTGAATACCACCTCTCTCTCTCATTTCCCCTCCTCTGTGCTAAGTACTAATGTTTTGTTCCCTGACTCAAATTGCTTCATGAGAATTATCCAGGAAGGCTTTTAAATAGGCAGAATTGCCTACGATACTATTCCATGCATGTTTACTTGTAGTAAATCTGACAGCATTTGATAGGGTTTTATCTCCAGAAAATGCTTCCACAATTTCAGACTTTTAACACTAAACCAACATTTGAAATCTGTGCTCAATAAGTATGTGTGTGTGTCTTTTAAAGATGTTCATGATGCATTAAAGGCTTGCCACACATTATTGTTATTGCTTTGTAGCACTATACAAAATAGCCCTTGAAAAAATATGCAGAACAGCAATAAGTACTTTCTAATCCAAATCTGTATACACTATAATATGTAGTATGCATCCATGTAAATTATATATTGTAACAGCACACAAAATTATGGCCCTGGGTTTTCTATTGTTACTGATAGCATAGTGAAGCATTTATATTCAATCCATTTAGTTTCAGGGGAAGTAGAATCACTCTCCATCATTGCCTTGTACAAACATGAGTCTAATTCTGAAGTGATAGCCATTGCTCCATTTAAACCCCTAATAACAAACCTTCCATATAATACTTTCAATGAGCATGAGATTACCCTCATTCACAGAAATGCAATAGCAGCCAACATATTCTACTCTAGAAAAAGCAAAGAATGCATTATTCTCACTTTTCAATGAGAAAAGACAAGGGCTGTGCTAGGCGATTCCATGGATTAATATTGTCAATGCTGATATTATGCATCTTCGAATATCTGGTTCTCAGGTATTTCAACTCATTGATCTTCAAAACTATTATTATTAATAGGATTGTTGTTGGACTCATTGTGTAGATGATCCTATTTTCACCCCTCCCTCAGACTTCAGAGGGCAACAGTTCTTCTCCAGAATGTCCCACTAGAGTAATAAGTAAATAAATCCCAGAACAACGGCCAATCAAACTCCTAGAACCTCAGAAGCAACTGTCCAATTACAGGCCATTTGGGGCCTCGTTTTTAGGCCTGTGCTAGTCTTTTTTTAGAAGGCTATTTGGAGCTTTTAAAAGGCCAGCATCTCTCATGTTATTTAGTCAACTGGGCCTTTGAGACTTCTTGGAGCTCAACTGGCTATATCTACACCAATTCTTTTTTAAATTGGGCATGACTGGGCTGCACTGAGAAGCCTGGGGTTGCATGAAGGCCACAGGCCATACTTTACCAATCTTTGATATAGTCATGAAAAGCATTATATCAACAAGTGCCTGATAAATAGGATTAAAATGAAAGCCAGCATCATTCACAGAACAATTGAGTTGAAAGGGGCGTATAAGGCTATTGAGTCCAACCCACTGCCCAATGCTGGGATCGAAATCAAAACAGATCTGACAGATGGTTGTCCCATTTTCTCTTGAATGTCTTCTGAGGGATTCAGAAGGGTTGGAGAACTCACCACCTCCAGAGGTAATTGGTTCCATGGTCATACTGCTGTAACAATTAAGAAATGTTTCCTGATATTCAGCCTAAATCTGTCTTTCTGTAGCTTATTGCATTTCCTGCACTTTGGGATGACTGAGAACAGATCGTACTCCTACTCCGTATGACTATCAAGTATTTGAACAGTCCATTCAATGGACCCATCTCTGGAAAATATGGCGTAGCAGTATGTAAGAAGATGCAGAAGCCAAGCTGACACACACATACATACCACCTCCCATGATGCCTTAGCCTTGGGCTCTGGTGGACTATTATTGGAACCCCAAGGAGAAGGGAGTTGCTTCTTCTTTTATTTACTTACTTAATTTGTACCCTGCCCATCTAGACCAGAGTCTACTCTGGGTGGCTAACAGCAATCCAAATAATAACAGTATAAAATAAAACAACAGCATTAATACATTTGAAGAGGGCAATAAATAAATTATATATTGACAGGAGGGAAGGCCTGCCTAAAGAGCCAGATCTTGAGTTGGCTCTTAAAAACATCTAGCGAGGGAGCCAGATAAATTTCTGAGGGAAGATTGTTCCAGAGGCAAGGGGCCACTGCCGAGAAGGCCTGGTTTCTTGTTCTTTCTCTCCGGACCTCTCTCAACATTAGGCCTCTAGGTGGGAGAAGGCGTTCCACTAGATATTGAGGTCCTAAACCATTTAGGGCTTTATAAGTCATCATTAATACTTTGAAATCAACGTGAAAATGAACAGGCAGCCAATGTAGGGCAGCCAGAGTGGGGAAAATATGTTGATGTTTTCTCAACCCAGTAAGAAGTCTGGCCTCCGTGTTCTGCACCATTTGAAGCTTCCACATCAGTCTCAAAGGTAGCCCCATGTAGAGTGTGTTACAGTAGTCTAATCTTGAGACTACAAGTGCATGTACCAAACTGGTGAGCGCACCAACATCAAGATAGGAGCACAGCTGGGCAATCCGCCAGTGATGGAAGTAGGTGGTGCGGACCACTGACACTAAATGGGTTTCCATGGTAAGCGCTGGATCCAGATGGACCCCCAAGCTGCGAACCTCACTCCTTGTGGTGAGAGTCACCCTCCCAAAAAAGAGAGGGAGTTTCCCAAACGACCAATGGCGCGGCCACCCACCCTCAGGACCTCCGTCTTTTCTGGGTTCAGCCTCAGTCCATTCACCTGCATCCATTGCAATATGGCCTCCAGACAGCAGTGAAGGGATGAAACAACATTCACTGTTGTTGGGGGAAAGGGGATGTAGAGCTGGGTATCATCAGCATACTGATGACATGAAGCCCCCCACCCCCTGATGACCTGAACCAGCTGCCTCATATGAATATTAAACAACACTGGGGAGATAATCAAGCCCTTCTTCTACATCCTTCTCCCCAAACTGACCTGTCCCTTGCCCCAAACTTGGATCATCCCACAGTTGTTCAGGCTGTCCACCGCAGGGCTCAGGAGATAAAACTGGGTAGTTGATCTGGGGAGGGTATATCAGTAATGAGGGGCAGTTGATTGAGGGAGAGAAAGGTGGGGAGGAGAGGATAAAAGGATGAGGAACCAAATCATCAGGGGAACCTAACCCATAATAAGCCACCTTGGGTCCTATTCAAGGAGAACATTAGGGTAAAAATATTTAAAATACTAATTAAATAAATAAAACTAATATCCTATGGCTCTGGAGGAATTGGGGAAGTGGATGAGGAATGGCTGGAGAAGTGGCTCCTGCTGGATCTGGTAAACGAAGCTCTACATGCTTTGGTCCACTCGTCCCATGACATATTAGCCCAGAGGCACCAGGTTCAATGATCAGTAGCCCCACTCAGTTCTTACACTGCTAGCCAGAGGTGATATTGGTGGTGCAACTATAAATTCGGTATGAATGATTTTACCTGATAGCCAAATGTATCATTTTGTGATCCATGGCGGGGAACTCCAGGATTTTCACATGATGTGCGGGTGGGTTCTGTGGAAGAAACAAAAACCCACCAAAACATTGTAAATGAAAAGGAAATGTTAACTTTAAATATGTTTAAAATTCCAAAACCAAATTAATACCAACTATTTCCAGAAGTGTCAGTGAGTGAATTGTGGTGTCTAAATCTGAATTCCACAAATAATTCACACAGCTGAATTTTATGAAAAGAATACAAACATAAGTAGTGCTCTGCAACACAGTATGGAAAGAATCCTAGCTTCTGGTAGTTAATAATGAAAAATATATCCAGATAAAACAAATTGGTTTAGATATTTGGCTGAAGAGCCAGAGGCTGGGGGTTTGATTCCCCACTGTGCCTTCTTGACAGGGGCTCAGACTTGAACCATAGGATCCCTTCCAGCTCTGCAGTTCTAACATGATGATGAATTAACAACAACAACAACAACTCCAAATTCCCTAAAAGACCAACATGGATAAGACCAATGGTATGGCCTTTATACCTGGCATTGTTCCATTCTACCCTGCCTCCAAAAAAATACCCTCCAGTTTGTATTAAAGGGAAGCAGTATCCTCAAAAGATCAGGAGCATACCTGGGCACTTCATATTTTGTATTATAAGCATTCCCAACCCCAACCCCAGAACTGCCCAGGCCATGCACTGGACTCCATGTGGCGCAGGGGTCCTTCGACAGTGCTGCCACTTCAATCTGGGAAGGAGCCCGGCCAACCCTTCCCTGCCTCCCCGAGTAGCTGACCACTTTGGGGAGGAAGTGGGCTGGGGAATCTTGTATAACTTAATAAAAAATACGAAGTACCCATATCTGATCAGGACCTCTTCGTGCTTAGATTATATCCACTGTAATCAGTGGCCTTGTATCAGTGATCAGTGATTAGCTCCATTGATTTCAGGGGTGTCTATTCTAAACATATAGAATAGAAGAAAAAAGCAAGTAACTAAGTAAAGTATCTTGGACTGTATCTGAGTGATTCCTCATATAAGACCTGGTTATGCTCCAGCATGACTGCAGTTTTTAGCTGAACCTTACACATATCGATATACAATGGAATTGCCAATATTTTGCATGTATAGACCTGGATGCATGATTCCCACATAGACCTGGATGCATGAATCCCTCAGAAGGCACTGTCAGATGTGCTGGATATGGCTTTTTTGTTGTTCAATTTCCCAATTTCTCCTCATCAGCTGTAACCTGCATATGCCTGAGAAGCCACTCTGGAGGTTCCTGCACCCTCTGGAGCCAGTTTTAGGGAGGGCTGCAGATGTGAGGATATCAATAATCCTCCTGCATGAGTGAATGTAGTGATGAAAGCAACATTAATCAATTTATGGAGAGTGCAAAGAAGCTAATAGATTATGAACTAGGTTAGGACAGATCACCTATGCACCGGGGAGACGATCCACTCCAGGTACCATCTGCTTGACATATCCGAGTACTAGAACCAACCAACAAGAATGGAGGATTGCAGCTGAAAGAGACTTCTGACTGATAAATAAAGCTCTTTCCTTCTCTTTTGCCTTGGGCAGGTATTCCAGGGTCACCACAAAACTTTGCTGTACAAAAAAGGGGGAAAAATAGAAAATATGTTAATAGCTTTTATTTACAACATGATGGATTTCTTTGTTTGGAAATGCTGAAATGGTGCAGAAAGCATATGGTTTCATGCTATTTCTACTTCAGAATATCAAATGGAATTGCAGAATATAAATATGCGCACATTCTGTGCAAGTGTACTCAGCACTGCTTATCACACTGCAAGCATAGAGTGACACTCAGATGTATGCTATCTCTCCATATTAAAAAAAAACTGTTAAGTGTAGCTGGTTAATATGTAGAGGACGCAAAATATATGTATATGGTTCCTACACATTAAAAAGGACCCAGACTTTCAAGAAAACATTTTAAAATCTTGTTCACAGATTAATTCAGAGCATTCTGGGACTTCAGCTAATGTTTAAAGACAGAATTTGTGATGGAACTACATTATTCACTGGCATTTTTCTCCTGCCTCTTCCCAACCACATGGCATTGTTGCATGCTTAGTAACCCCCTGGCTGAATAAGTAACCATGGAAACTAGACACCACAGCTATTCACATCAGTCTTCTCCTCCCCAGCATCCGTGAACAGAGAGAAATGTGGAAGGAAAAAATAATGTCTTTGTACCAGACTATAACTTTTAAGGTTCTCCCTTTGCCCAGCATAGTTTGCCTGTGCTAATTTCTAAAGCATCCATGTGAAAGTGATCATTAAGTGTGCACCTGTTTTGTTCCACATAAACCCAGTTAGTGAGGAAAGCAGTGTTCACGCTGGCAAAAGCATGCAACCTGAGTTATAATAATAATTCTTGGACTCCAAATGATATTAAGAATGAGAAAACAGTAAATGGCTGAAATACATAAGGTCTTATTCAGAGGTGTTGGGGATGCAGTCATGTTGACGTCTGTCTGGCTTCAGTGTCCATGAATACAATTCTCACTTACTTACTTTACTGTTTCTCTTATTTATGCAAAATATGCCTAAATTGTTGATATCAGCATTAAAAACCATTGATTCACTTATCTATGTTCTGAAAATATTAAAAGAAAAAAAAACTGAAAAAAAAACCTATTTTCACATCTATTACCAGAACCAACCATTAGTGGGAGGCAGAGACCACGTGTTGAACACATAGCATGGTCTCTGCCACCCTCTAGTGGCCAGTTCTGGTAATCCACTGATTAACCACCTGGAACCAGTCCCCAGTAGATATGAGGGTCCTATTGTATAAGAAGCAGTCTCTAACAAATCACATAGAGATATATTCACATCGCTTTAATTATTTGTGATATATGTTTTACCATTTCAAAAAACCTTGTAAATCAATTGCATTATTTATGGTTCACAACAGCTTCCTTGATGTGAGGAGAGTAAATAGTCTGGAATTTGGAGGGACTACAGGACAGCGGTTGAACACACATTTTACACACACTATGTCCAAGCATATTCTATACCCAACATCAGAGCTAGGAAGGAACCTGAAACTATGAAGAACCATTTCCAGTCATGTCTAATAATATGATACTTAAGTGGACTAATAATTTAACACCACATAAAGGTGCCTCATATGTTCCTCCAAATTCACTTGGTGGCCAGATGGGCAGTATAAAACTCAAATAAATATACCAAACAAATAAATAAGCAATCAGTCTGAAATTTCTTGTAGAATGCTCAGATTGTTTCAATTCAATAGCACTACAGAGAAGACTCAAAGGTCTGGGCTATACATTCAAATGTAAAGCAAACAGCAATCATAGACAAAGCATACCACTTTGCCCATATGATCCTAGCAGTACTTTTTGTTTATTTATGGTTTTACTTTTACTGTGACACGACATGTAGAGTTCTACTCCCCCAGTTAATCAAACCCATTGGATTTACTTTTGAAGTGGTTGGTAATTCTTTTTCCTGAGAAAGAACAAACATCTTTGCATGAAGCACTGTGTCAAAAAGCCACCATACAATTGTTATTGTAAATGAAATCTGCAGCGGTGCAAAATCCATCACTGTCAGCACTTTTATGATAATAAAAATTTCTGTATAAAACAGGTAATTCAATATAATATTGGAACAAAAGTCCAATTGTAATAGACAGCCTAGAGTCTCTTCTGTACTCCTGGCATTATTGATATCAGCCTAGTCCTGCCTGACTAAAGCATGCCAGTCTGAACTTGATTCCGATGGCATTTTTGTCATTTTGTCATTGCCAGAAGCCACTGGCAATGGTGCGGCTAAAAAATATTGTAAATAAATAAATAAATAAATATTTGACAAACGTGATTTAGGGGTATAAAACATGAGACAAAACACTGTCATTCTTTCTTCCGTACCTGTTCTATCTTGGGAAAGTCAAAAATTCACAGGTTACAGAAACAAAGAATTTTTTCATTTGTTTCTCAGATTCAAGCTAATTAAAACAAAGCACCATTCTGAGTCAGGTCTCATTTCCATCCATCATAGGTTAAAGAGGCCAGTGGTTCCCAATCTTGGGTCCTCAGATGTTCATAGATGACATCTCCTGGAAACCCTGGCCAGCACAGCTAGTGGTGAAGGCTTCTGGAGATTTGAGTTCTAGCATATCTAGGATCCCAAGATTAGGAGCCACTAGCCTAGACAGATTTACCTAGCAGTAGCAGGCAACAGAGCAGACATTCTCTGACATAACTGCCACTGAAATTCCCCACCATGCCCCAATATAGCATTTTTTAAAGGAATGATGCTAAATTTGGGGCATTGTGGAAGATTAAAGAAACAGTACCCAGCCACCTAGCTTTATCAGAAAGCTGGGGATTCTGGGCTATCAACAATAACAACAGCAGTTGCACTGTGTTGTTTTTCAGGGGGCAATAGCATTAGTTTGAGAAATAGCATAATGCCTACTAACATCATCAGCACTAGTGGAGTTTTGATGTTATGACATTTATAATTATTATATTATGGGGTGGCTGTCATTCAGGCTATTTTTCAGTGACTTTTTAAAATAGTGCATTCACAGAATGTTACCGAAACCAACAGAGTAGACTCTGTCTAGACGGGCGGGGTATAAATCGAATAATAAATAAAAATAAAAATAAATAAATAAACATTTCTTGTGAGGAATGAGTAAAAAGTATAGAGCGAACAATCCCTTAAAAAACAAGTAATACCACTGTTAAACATTTACAGTAGTGTTTTTGGATTCTGTATTCTTTTCAGAATACGCCTCCACCAGAATGGGCTTCAGTATGTCCACTTCCATGGCACAATTGGTTAAACTGCAGCACTACAGTCAAACCTCTGCTCACGACCTTGATTCCTTCTGAGTTTGGTAAAATGAGTACCCAACTCACAAAGTGTACAAAGTGTTGTTTGCACAGTTATGCTGTAAACCACCCAGAGAGTATTGTGGCATTATAGAACAGTACATGTTGAAACAACAACAACAAAGAATTAGAATTGATACCTAAGTGTGTGGCCTCCAATGCATTACAGGAACAACTTTAGAAAATATTTAATGGGAATAATGGTTAAAATGAAACTTAAATGTCAAATAACTACTTACGTAAACACTGAGGTACTTCACCACTCCATGTTCCATTCCCAACACACGTCAAAACAGCAGGAAATGACAGCTCATAGCCAGGCGAGCAGACATAGCTAATACTAAATCCCCAGTCAAAATTTGTTCCTTCCTGTCTTCCGTTAGAGATCTGGGGTGGAGTTGGGCAGGTAACAGCTGCAACAACATTTAGAGTCATTAGACACAGCAGCTGCAAATGTCCCCAGTGTCTATAGTTACTAGGAGAACCATATGCGCTAATTTAACATTTTTGGAGGACAGTATCATTTTTTGTAGTAACATTACCAGAATCACATTTTCTTTCCAAAGCTTTCAGGAAACACCATGTTGACTCATTTTCATGCCCTAATATATGTGATACTCAGCATTGCATGCAGCCAACGGAAGAAAATGTAGTCAAATTTTAAAAAGATTATACACCAACACTACATTTGGAGATACTCTTCTATTCACTATTTCATTCTTCTTTAGCTTTATAAACCCATGTATTTGACTTTCACAATAATTATAACCATTTTCTTAAAAGCCTGGAAAATAAAGTAAATCAACACATTCACAAGGGACGTGGTGGCGCTGTGGGCTAAACCGCAGAAGCCTGTGCTGCAGGGTCAGAAGACCAAGCAGTCGTAAGATCGAATCCACGTGACAGAGTGAGCCCCCATCACTTGTCCCAGCTCCCACCAACCTAGCGGTTCGAAAGCATGCAAATGCGAGTAGATTAATAGGGACCACCTCGGTGGGAAGGTAAACAGCGTTTTGTGTCTAAGTCGCACTGGCCATGTGACCACGGAAGATTGTCTTCGGACAAAACGCTGGCTCTATGGCTTGGAAACGGGGATGAGCACCGCCCCCTAGAGTCGAACACGACTGGACAAAAATTGTCAAGGAGAACCTTTACCTTTACCTAACACATTCACAGAAAGAAGCTTTACTCCCTAAAGCTAACTGAACCCTACCTCACCCAGCAAAAGACTTTTGGTGGGTCTTCCTAATCTGTTATTCTAGATGTATTATGGAAGGCTGCTGGATCAGGAATCACCCCAAATGGAGAAAATTTCAATCTAACTAGGCATAATTCCCACAATCAGCAGCTTCCCACCACTTTATTCATGAATCCCTTGTAAAATTTAGCCCAACAAACTTTTCAGGGGACATAGTCAGTTGCAAGAAGAAAGGGATTACAATTTCTCATTCTCAGAATGGGAAGAACATTCCAAATCTGGAGAACCTTAAATCCGAAAGTCCTTCTCTGTGGTCACCTTCAGAGGGTATTTCTAACAGCACGAATAGTATGCTGAGAGAAAGTAGCCCTTAAGAAACTAGTTCTAATCCATGTAGGGCTTAATTTACATTGTTTGTCATAAGGAGTAACTCATGATTTCTGTCTCAGCCTAAAACGTTAAGAACTGCAAGTATTCAAAAAGGAATGGCTCTGTATTGATCTGACTGGATGAGCTCATGTTAGGGTTGTATATAGGGGGATTCTACCTTCACAGAGATGTGTGTGTCTTGTAACACATGTGGAAGCAACAAGAAGTAAAGCAAGAGATGGGGAATTTGGGGTCAACAATGATTTATTTTAGGTTTTTCCCAAACTAAATCACTCTTACAGGCTTGAACAGGTACTGTCTTCCATACACAAGTCCTCCCAAATAATGCAAAAATATGCATCTTAGATTGTTACATAAACACGTTAGTTTTAGTTCTAATGAAATCTATATACTGAAACTGGATATAAAGGCCTGGCCTCGGTCCAATTACTAGTCTTAAATAGAGGAGACCCACAGAATGGTAAGTCAACATTTATGTAAGTCCAGTTGATTCAAAGGCTGCTGCTTACACTAAAGCAGACCCCTTTGAATCAGCAGGGATTTGGTAAATCAACTCCATTATAAGTTCCATTGATTCAAATGGGTATACTCGAGTTGCAAATTACTTTAACACAGTAAATTGCAATTAGAGCAGGTCCATTTGAATCCATGGAGCTTACAGAGCAGTTGCCTCACCAAATCTTCAGTGACTCAATGGACCTACCCTAGTGCAACTTCACTATGTTAAACAACAGGATTTCAGTCACTGGATTTAATCTAATTGGGACTAAGAATTGTATCTAGGTCACATTTTCTATTATTCTTTGCCATAGGCAAAAGTTTTTGTGGTACTTAGTTGATTAGACCAGGTTTCCAACCTTGGGTAAACCAGGTGTTCTTGGACTGTAGTTTCCAGAAGCCTTCATACCAGCTGTGCTACTAGGGGTTTCTGGGAGTTGGAGTCCAAGAACACCTGGATTACCCAAGGCTGGAAACCACTGGATGAGACAAGTGAGATGCTAAAAGCCCCACCTTTTTTGGTACTCATTGGAACTGGACTAAATTAGGGAGATCTGAATCCCAGTTCAGTCAAAAAGTTCACTAAGTAGCTTTGAACCTCTCCCTCTCTCTCAACCTAACTACGTCGAAGGTCTGCAATAAGAATGAAAAGTATGAAATAATATGTGAATAGCCTTAAGCCATTAGAGGAAAAAGATACAATATAAATGTAATAAATAAATATTGGCCAGGGAATTGATGTTTGTTTCCTTGATTGTGTAAGGTGTTTTTTTTTAAGGAAAGGAGAAAAGAAACCTACTTTAGCCACAAAGGGTCTAATTCTTTGTGGAGTGTGTTTGCTTGTGAAACACTTCCTTCCTACAAAACCATGGGTTCAGCCTTTTATCCATTCTAATGGGTTCAAAACTACTTTTCATTTCTAACCAGAAACTGACCAGAATCACTAAAGGTCTGTGACATTTGTTTAAGGCTTGGTGCTAGGTGAAAAAAATGTAAAAAAAGATGAGTCAAGTCATGCAGCATGTAGAGTAGATGTCATTACTCCACTCTATATACTTCTCCTCATCCTCATCATCCTCATCATTCCTGTCAGAAGCAATCCAATAGTGCATACAGAGTGGAAGGATCAGATGACAGGGTTCTTGTTCTGGGAATGCCCAAATGTGTTAACAATCCTTACAGTCTTCAAAGAGGCTCCTTCTGAGTCACCAATTTGTTACAGTGGAAAGAATATACTAGAAACCCGTTGTAAATTTGAAATGAAAGATACCTTTACATGTTGGAAGCATTCCACTCCATGTGCCATTAGTAGTGCAAGTACGAATTTGGGAACTATTGGATTCCATTGTGTACCCAGGCTGGCACATATACGTAACATTTTGTCCAACAACATAGTCATCACCATATCTCAATCCATTAGCTGGTGTACCTGGGTCTCCACAACTGATTACTGTGTGAAAAGAAGTTGAAGAACAGATGTTAAAACTGCAACACAACTGATTATATTTTTGAAGGAGGAAGCATGCAAAAACGAATCATTTATTGGCATGCATCCATTTTAGTAGACAATTTTAAACACCACCCAGAAGCAATCTAAAAATTGATCAGTCAGATCTATATTTTCCAAGCTCCCAGTACTTTATAACCTTCACACATTTATACTGGTCATGTCCTGTTGGGAAAGAAGTGTTAACCATTAGTGTTAATGTACAGGCCCTCACAAAAAACCACAATGTAGGCTGAGCAGCCTTCTGAAGCAATGTACTTCTGGCTTTAGATGGCACACATTCTTTCTGAACTCCTGCTTCTGTAAGAGGAGAGATGAAGCTATTCTGTTTGAAGCCATGTTTATAAATGAGAAACTTCCAATTGTTGGAAGCATGAATGACTTAAATAGGGATTTGGGGAGGCTGTTGCCTCAGATGGAGTAGACATGAGAATAGTACTGCTATTAAAGACTTTAGGTATATTGCTTGTAGCTAAAGGCTGAACAAGACAATGTAGGCAATATGCCATGAGAAGCAGAGCTCCCTTGATATGTAAAAGATTATATGCTCATTCAAACACGAGTTTGCCTCAGTCCACATTTGGCAAATAGTTTGCTATGGTTTTGTAGTTGGTTGTCTTGAGATTAACATACCTTCACTTAAACATCTGATATATAAGGCATGCTAGTTTGAAAAAATTTCAGGGCCAGAAGGGGGGAAAACATTGTAAGAGGAAGAAACACACAATTCCTTTAACACATAATCTTATTCTAAATGTCCTAATACTATTTTAATTGATGACTCTTTCATTGATGAAAAATGGCCAAGGAGGTTTTGAAAGTAACCCACTCTTTTGTAGATTTTTTTTAATAAAAGATGTACCAAGAGAAGTAGCATTTTCATAGTGTAGAGCTGGGTAATGTATCCATTTTGAGCATAAATCAGTTGCTTTCATATTTTTATTTTTTGGGTCCAGTAATTTTTTTCCCCATCTAAAAGTTAACCATGAAGCTTTAAACAGAATATCAGGTTAGAGGAACATCACAAACATTAACTAGCATATTTTCTAAAACGAAAAACATGATGTGCTGTGAAATGGCTATTAGTCACAATGTCTACATATTACCACCAGTAATAGAAAAAAATGGACACCCCCGTATTCCAGTTCCAGTGGAAATTGAGTGGGAAAATGCTATGGCACTCATGTTCTGTCTATAGGATTCCTATTGGCAACTGCATGGCTATTGTGTGAACAAAATGCTGAAGCATTTATGCTTTTGGTCTGACCCAGCAGGGATTTTTTTATGTTCTTCAGAGAGCTGAACCCTCACACCCATCACTTCTTTTCAGTTGCACCACATAGCGCTCAGCCTGTTTTGTCTCCAGCTAGCAAAACAACTGCAGGTGTCTTGCAAAATGCTTACTGGCACAAACCTCAGTGTATTCTTAGATGAATATTGTTGATTTTTCATGATAGAAAATGTGAAGTAATTCCATGTCATTCAACCTTACTATACTGCTGCAAAACAACAACAACAAAAAACCCTTCTCTATGTTGAACCACCGTGCAAAAACAACAACAACAACAAAAACCTTCTCTATGTTGAACCACCATAAGGATAGTGAAGGATGTTAGGACTCCTCCCAATGATCATTATAAGCAAGAAACAGGCTTAGCTCAACTCACAGAGGATTCATCTACCAATACATTAGATCTCATATACATTATAAGACAATACAGGACCAGAATAACCGGGGCCATCTTTCCTGGTCCGGGACACTCTATCCCCTCATCTTACATGGAGGTAAGCCAGCCCAGTTTGTGACACCATACAAGATCCTAACTGATCTTTGACTTGCAATTTCATAGCTTTGTGGAGCTTGAACCAATGTGAGCCTTGACTAAGTTTTTAAACAACAAGTTTTTTTAATACTGAATATGGAAGATGTGTTAAAAGAAAACACATTTTTATACACATTTAAACTCATTTTTTCAATCCAAACTCTTTTTTTTAAATAGTCATAATAAATTTGCTTTGTATTGAGCTGAAATCAGTAACACAAGGAAATCTGTTTGGAAGAACAACTTCACCTGATTAAAAAAAGGTTGTCAGGAGACTGAATTATAACTATTAATTTTCTTAGCTGCAGCAAATGGCAACCCACGGCTTATCCGATTTCTAACTTTCTTCATTTTCTGACTTCTGCTTCACCTGGTTTATTTGCACAGAACTGTCACCAGAGGCTTATATTGATGTAAACTGTACTACAGGTTTCTGCTAGGAAGACTGGTGAAAGGTTTTCAAATATTTGCATTGTACTTACAGTTTGAGAAATAAAAATACAGGGAAAACATATATCCTTTAAAATTCCAGATTTGTCTCTCTCTCTCTCACTCACTCACTCATTTTCTCAATTTTGCAAAGAGCTGCTTATGTGATTTTCATAAAGAAAACACATAAAATATTACAGAAAAACAGTGAAACAGAAAGTAGTAATATTGGGTTACAGAACACTGAAAGCATGTTTAAAGCCTAGAATGCAGCTGTTATCAGTATACAAGATGCAAACAGAATGAAAAGTCAAATAAAGATGGGATGACTAAAAGGGAACAGATTGAGAACAAATTATTTTAATACTCATAAATTAGCAAATATTTAATTAATGCAGGCTACATATTCATTATGTTCTCTGAAGTATTTTGTGCTGGATGTACTCCTTATTCAGTTACCTTTACAATTTTATCAGATTGCTAAGCTATTACAGTTTAGAAAATATTGGAAGCATTTCTAAAGTCACGTAGTTAAATTGCTACAGAAAAAAAATCAGTAATTGAGCCATGTAGTTAGTGACAAGGCTGCACAGATTTCTTGGAATATGCAATGGAAGAAGTTCCTAAAGCAATTTAGAAGTTTTTTCTCCCCTCCCTAGCTTGACATAAGATTTATGGTAGTGGCTAAGTGATAGAAAGTCACCTTTTCTTCATCAACAACCTTGTGTGCACCCTGAAAAGAATTCTTGCTTCTTACCCTGAGATGGTTAATGGTTAGAAACTGGTTAGAAAACATTGAGAGTCTTCTTGGAGCATTCAATTTAATGCAGCCAAGGAACCTTCTTTCCTTAAACAAAAAGATTCCTTTATCTTGTGGAAGGGAGAATGGAACGTTGGATAGTGGAGGGGACCCAGAAAAAGTGGTGCTTTTTGTTTGTTAGTTTGTTTCTGGTGCTTTGCAAACCAGTGAGAATGTCATTATTTTCACTGCTTTGAGTGACTGCACTCTGGAAAACAGACTTCTGTCGGGAATGTACTTTCTCCCAGTACAATGCGTCTATTACCCGAGGCTCCCACACACAGAAGTTGTAATTGCTGCACAGTTGTACCTTGGCTTCTTATAAACTAACATTTTAAAGAGAAACAATACTTACTTGTGCAATTTGGCAAGGAGCCAGACCATGTTCCGTTAGCAGTACACTGTCTCACAGATGTTCCAGACAGGATGTAGCCTTCCATACAGGAATAAATTACAGAACTAGAGAATGTCGTGCCATCTATTCGAAACACCTTCCCGTTAGCTGTGGTTCCAGGGTTGCCACACTGAACAGCTGGAAAAAAATAGATGTCGAAATTCAGAAATTAGGGGAAGTCAGAACCATGAGTACAATGTGCACACAAAGACATACGCACAAAAACATGAAGATAATTTTCAAATCTTGCTTGAAGATCTAAGTGACATCACAGTAAGTGGAAATTTACATTAAATTCAAACAGTTTGTACTTTAGATGTGAAAATCCTCTTTAGATGCATTTCACTAGTTAGATTGTCTCCTAGTCCTGAGGAGAAATTCAAATTTTGCTTAATATTTCCATTAGGTGAAATCCATTTACAAACAACAAATCCGCTTTATGATGGGGTTTTTTTGCGATTGCTATTGCAAAACAATGTTCCTATGGGGGAAAATTGCTTTACGACGATTGGTTCCCTGCTTCGGAAACCGATTCTTCGCATTATGATGATTTCCAAACAGCTGATCGGTGGGTCGCAAAATGGCAGCCCGCTGTGCAAAATGGTTCCCCCGCTGTTTTTAGGATGGATTCCTCGCTTAATAGGCACTGGAAAATGGCCACCCTATGGAGGATCTTCGCTGTACGATGAGGTATTTCGTCCATTGGAACGCATTGAACGGTTTTCAATGCATTTCAATGGGTTTTTAAAATTTTGCTTGATGATTTCGCTTAACAGCGATTTTAACGGAATGTATTATCGTCGTCAAGCAAGGCACCACTGTACAAACTCCTAATATGCAACCTTATATTCCTATATACATTTAGTCATCTACTTGTTCTCTTTGACTTACCTTGCAGTTCCATAGCAATTTCACTCCAATATGCCATTTTTAGAATCTAAAGAGTCCAGCTAGATCAACCCAAAGTTTTGTTTAGTCCACCATTCTGCTCCTGAGGTGGCCAGCCAGATGGCTCTGGGAAAACCCAGGAAGGATACGATATGAGGGCCACAGCACATGCCCACTATTTTTTTGTGGAGCAGCTGGCATTCAGAAGCTACAGCCTAATCTCTATATGTGTATAATCCCCATTTCTGTAGTTTAATTAAGCACTTTATGAAGAAGTCCTTCCTTCTGTTCAACCCCAAATTTCTTTCCAAATCTCTGCCCTAAATTTGAACCTGCATTGGTTTGTTTATTTACTCCTCTGATTTTAGCCTTAATTTGTCCCAGAACAGGAATTCAAGGTGGGTCTCTCAACACAGTTTTCATAGGAAAGTAAAATAAAAATACATAATGTTATAATAATAAAGACAAATCCAAACAAGTTAAAATATTTAAAATGCTTAAACCTAAGACTTACAATTGAAACTTAAATGTCCAAATAAAATAATATTAATTTAAAATTAAAACGTAGCCAGTAAGTATCTTTATCTGCTTTCTCCAGTCCATGCATATTTTTATTTACAGTATTTCTATTACATTTCCTCTTACTGGCTTTTTCCCTCTCCTCTGATAAAAAGCTCCAGATATGGCAGCATTTTCTTCTGAGAATAATTCTTCCAGTTTCAAGGTTTCAGTTCCTTAGCGTAAGGGAGCATTTTCTGTGTCTTGTTTTCGCTTATTTCTGGGACAATCAGCTCCAAAAATTTTGCAGAGCCGATGCATGTTAGTGCAGATAAAACTAAATAGATCAATGGCCTATTACAAGAAGATGTCCTATGTTCTTAAGTGAACCATATCACAATCATAGATTTATTGAAAATGATGCATAAAAGCAAATATTATTTTTAATTTTATCAGTTTAATCATTGCATCAATATTTATCACAGATTATGTTTTCGGCTGTTTCAATAAAGAAATTATCCTCAGTGGTAATTACTCAGCTACAACCTCTGGGCACAACAAAAGACCATGAAAGATGATTGCATATTATACTAAAGGAGAGTTACATCCAAATCTTTCTCACAGTTCTATTTACTTTAATGAGCCCATTCACATAATTCATCTATAGTCAAAGTTTGCAAAAGCAAGCTTTAGATTAAATAATGGAATATATTATTTTCTATTTACTTTTGTTCGTATAATTATTTTATTTTAAGATTCCATCAGTTCACAAGTTTCCAGTTCAACATGCAGCACAACATCGATATCTTGAAAAAAACAGATTTTTTTTCTTAATTGCACTTCAGTATTTTTACACCTTTGATGCTTTAAAAAGTCGCTGACTTTTTATTTCTGCATTGGCAACAAAAACACAATGGATTGTTCTGAACACTATGGATTATATCTACAGAATAATATAATAATAAAATATGAAGGTTGCATATGTAAGATTATAAATGCAACAACAGTGATGACAAGTTTTTTTAATGGAAAAGCCTTTAGCAACTGCGACAGGAGAAAAGCCACAAAATCTACAGAAGTAGAACAGTAACACTTATTAATTCTCTCCTGTTATTAAGGGGTAGGCAGTTCAAAAAGCAACAGTGATGAAATTTCATATACAGTATAGAAATGTGTGATACAAGTGAATTTTTTTCAGCAACAGCAGGACGGTAGGTTCCCAATATTTGTGCAAGTGGGTCTTCCCCCTGAAGAAAGTTGCAGAAGCCATCACATTTCATGTGAATGTGCATAAACAATTCCAGCTTGAAATTCCCATTATGCAACTCTTTGCACAGTGAAGTGCAAAGTATACAACTATATAGGCAAATATAAAGTTTACATGAATCCTGAACAGCATTTTGATCTCCATCTACATAAAAATATGGTCAAATTCCACTAGATAATCATGTTATGTTACCAACATTCACAATTCATGGTTTAGAATTAGAAATCTGCCCCCTCCTCATTCTTTTCCAGCTCAGTGCCAGGAAAAAAAGAAAATTAAGACTCCTTACATGAATACTAATTTATAGAATCATAGAAACAGTTGGAAGGGACCTTGTTGGTCTTCTAGTCCAACCCCTGTCCAAGGCAGGAGACCTCATACCATCCTGGACAGAGGGCTATCCAATCTTTTCATGAAAACCTCCAGTGATGGAGTACCCACAACATTGGGAGGCAAGCTGTTCCACTGCTTAATGGTTCTCACCGTCAGGGAATTCCTCCTTCTTTCCAGGCTGGATCTCCCTCTGTTGAGTTTCCACCCATTGGTTCTTGTCCTACCCTCAGGCACAACGGAGAATAAATCAATGCCCTCTTCCCTGTGGCAACCCTTCAGATATTGGAAGACTGCTATCATGTCTCCCTCCACAGTCCTCTCTTTGTTACGCTAAACATACCTAGTTCTTTTAGTGATTCTTCATAGGATTTAGCCTCCAGTCCCCTTATCATCTTTGTTGCTCTTCTCTGAAGCCCTTCCAGGGCCTCAGTGTCTTTTTGGTATTGTGGTAACTAGAAATGGACTCCAAGTGCAGCCTCACTACCACATTATCAGAAGGTAATTTTTTCCTTTCTAATCTATTTCTTCCCATAGACTACTTCACACCTCTTGTCCATCTCCTCATTAGCCTTCCTTGTTACTATAGCGACAGTGGAATAGAAAATAAAAGGTATAAATCCTGCATTTTTTCTTTGAGGGAGTCTCACTGCTCTTCCACTAGACCAGTGCTTCCTAACCTTGCATATCCCAGGTGTTCGTGGACTGCAATTCCAAGAAGCCTTCTCCACCAGCTGTTCTGGACGGGATTTCTGGGACTTGGGTGCTTCCTAACCTTGGGTTACCCAAGGTTGGGAACCACTGTACTAGACCATTTCATTATCATGCCTGCTATACCAGGGCCATTGCAATGTAAACAATATAGATAACATCTGTGCTGTGCATATGACAAATGCATAGCAAGTGAGCTTCTCTCAATTAGAAAGCCTTTAAAGACAATGTGCTGTAGATAGCTCAAGCTACGGGAAGCCAGATTTTTGCTGAATATCAGGAAAACTTCTTAGTGTTAGAGTAAAACAACAATGGAATCCATGACCTCAGGAAGTGGTGAGGCATTCAAGAGAAAATTGAACCGGAAATGCTGGTCGGAAAATTGTCAGAAATGCTTTGATTTGAATTCCTACCATGGACAGGGGTTGGACACAATGGCCTTAAAGATCCCTTCCAACTCAATTATTCTATGACTCTGTCTTCTGTCAAGTCATTTCTGACATATAGTTACTCTAACAGGGCTTTCAAGGTATGTGAAATGTTCAAGGAATGGTTTTACCACTGTGAAATTTGAACCCAACTGTCTGGAATCCTAGTCTACTACTATATCTATATCCACTACACTGTACTGGCTCTCTTCGAAGATAGTCTAACTACTGTTTTAATAACAGTGTAATTAAAGTGTAATTTACCTTTACATTCTGGTTGCTTTCCTGTCCAACTTCCATTTCCCAGACATGTCCTTTCCTCTGATCCGTGAAGGATATAACCAAGCTCACAAGAAAATTGCACAGTACTTTTAACTCTAAAATTGCTTCCATCTCTAGACCCATGACCAGGAATTCCAGGGTCTCCACAAGATCCTGTAGTATCACCTGCAATTTATGGTACAAAAATTATTTGATTGTAATATATGTGACATTAAGGCTTTTTTTAAAAATAAGCTTATCCAAACTGCAAAAAACATATGTATCCAAATGTGTTGTTGCAACAGAGCAGTGGTTCCCAACCTTAAGTAATCAGGAATTCTTGGACTGCAACTCCCAGAAACCTCATCTAGCACTGCTGATGGTGAAGGGTTTTGGAAACTGCAGTCCAAGAACACCTGGGTTATCCAAGGTTGGGAACCACTGCAACAGAAGAACACTTGGAATCGATGTACAAGTTAAAATATGTTGTGGGAAAGCATACCTAAATCTGCCCTTTAATATCTTACGACAATTTTACATGTGATTTGTTCTTTGAATACATTTCACAGAAACTGCAAGTGCCTTACATAAACTGCTTTAGAGTGTTTAAATAGAAAATTTAACTAGTTCATGCTCCAGTTTCCTAGTTCATTGTATTTTTTTTAAAATTCTCAGTTTGCTATAGCCCACTGTAAAACACTGGCCAGTATGATCTCACACGGCACTGCTGGCACAGCAAAAATTATACCACTGGGAGTGGCAGACTGTCATTAATGATAGGGTTCCTTTTTTTATTTGGGGGTATGTGCAACGTATGTGGAATCAGATGAAGTCACGCACACTCAGAAACTGAATAAAGGAATTATTCAAGAAGCCACTCCTACTCATCTTATTTCTGCTGTACTAACACAGCTCTGCAATTAATAATAATAATAATAATA